TTAATGCGCAAATTTCACAATTCCATAAATAAAATTAATGCAAATACTAAGTTCACCATGGAGTAAGAAAGGAAAATAAATTGCCTTTTTTGGATTTATTGTTGAGCAAAGGTAATAAGTTGGGTAGAGACGTATATAGGAAACCCACACACATGGGTTTGCGTCTAGCAAATGTAACCATAGGAACAAGGAGATCACTAGATTGAAGCATATACTGTTGCAAAACGATTATCAATTAGGATTAGCAGATAATTACATATTAATTGTCAGTAACAAAATAAGGTTAGTTTGTTATCTATTTCGAGATAGAGAACTGGACCATTTACTCGTTTCCTGATTTTGTCTTTCTGTCAGCTTACGATAATGTTGGGAAGTGGAACATAAAAACAATGTCTAAAGAGAAATTAACACTTTCTTCAGTAGTTTCTTCGCTTAGAGGATTTTCAGACCCTCTTTCTAGATGTTTTGTGCTCATGTGGTAAAGTCTATGTGGGGGAGACCTGCCGACCCATCCAAAATAGAATATGCGAACCACTTGTAAAGGTCTATGGATCCAAAAATCCGAGCTTGCTGAACACTCAAAAGACTGGGTCAAAACAACGTTTTGCGGGTTATGGGGACTTTACATCAAAGCGTAAAATTAGGAAGTCGATATAAATTAACAAAACAGTCAATGTCCTGAATAGGAGGAACAAGTGTATAAAAGAGAATAGGAACTATCTGTGGCTGCTGGACATGCTTAAGGAGAGGGGAGGGGATGCAGGAAGAGCGACCAAACAAAAGGCTGGAGTAGCCTAGAGTCTAGCTAGGACTATCCCACTTCCCATGACATGAACCATACATACACACAATAGCCAATAGGACAAGATCAAACATGATTTAACATTAGAGGATCATGCACTAATTTATTTGTTTGAGGAAACAGTTGTAAACAAATGCGCTTCCGTTTCGGGAAGTAACTTTGCTCATTTGCAAGTATATAGAGTAAGTTTGAAGTAGCCAACCAAATCATGGGATGCCTCATTAAGATCCCAACATTAGGTGTGCAAAAAAGCGACTAGGATTGCAGCCAGCCACCTCTTCTCCTACGACATTGGTTATTATATTTTTGCTCTATTTCTTGAAGTATGGATACCTGCTCTGATGATATCTGCCACAGTACAGACGAAAGCTTAGCACAGTTTCATCAGTCACAGGACGGTGAGCTGAGGACTTCTTCGCACAATTCAACAGTATTTCTTACGCGGAAATCCTCCGGTTTCCGATGAGACTACATCATGAATTCCTTCCAACAAACTTTCCCTTCGAAATTAAGAGTCATGTCACAATATATCACAAAAGTATTCTTCGAAACCCAGTTTTTCTTCATATGTTGAATTCTTTGCTTTTTAAACATACATGAATATATATATATATTTATTTATTTATATATATATTCATGCTTTGTATTCGATCAAGAATCAAATGTTTCGTAGTTATATTAATCTGTATCTTTTACTACTCCATGAATAAGTATGTACCAAGAACGAAATTTTTTGTAGGTAACAGCTAAAGGAGTGCCAAAGATAGGCAAACAAATGTTATGCTGTTTGACTATTATATAAAATAAATAGAATATAAAAGAAAATATTGAATTTATTGGGAACTAGAAAAAATCACACAAAAACCCTAGGAAATAAATATAAAAGATCTGATATATCACTACAAAAACCAATACTCTCTTTTACCCCTAATAAATGTGAAACTTAAGTTGTCATTAATATCCTAAGCTCCCGTGATAGCGACAAAAACAACACCTATTGTGGAAAAATTCAACTATCATTCCCCTTATCATCCCAAACGAAATAGAGTGAATACATCTCACAAAAGCTACAATGTTTGACTAGCATTTGTAAATCACTTCAAATATATTCCTGCCATGTCTATATCATTTAGCTTTATTAATTTGCATAATATTTAAGTATATTTTTTCCTGATTAATCAAGACTCCTTTCGAGGCCCACTAAACTAAACTCTAAATAAATTGTTCGAAGTCGTTTTCATGACTAGCTGGACAATACATATAAGTCACACTGAGAGTTTTGCCACACATCTTAAGTTTCCGGATATTTGTTATGCCTGAGACGTCCTTCCAGAAGGAATTTAAGTTAATGCGAGTCCTGGAGCAATTTTGAGATGACCATGCGGTAGGAACACGAGCCGTTTTCATTCGCCTCCCCTTGTATAAGTTCGCTCGTTTTCTCCCTTAAATCTCAGAAATAACGCCAGAGACTAATTAAATTTTATCTAGCTTATGAATAAAAAAAAGGTCGTAAATAAACTAAATATTAACTTACGTATTGTTCATTATTTAATTATTGCTACATCCTTACTACTATAAATTTTAACAAAAGAAACTTAGATAACTTTTTATAAAATAATTATTTTTAAAAACTAACAAAATATTCGTTATAGAACCTTGGGGGAAGAACTCGAAGCATCAAAGGACACTGAATTGTCAAGAGGCGCAAGCTTTTCGGTCGGTAAAGAAGCGGGGTCTATGGCTGTTGGAATATTCGTTGAGGTATGAGTGCAGCCAGAGGCTGCGTCTGTGATTAATGATGATGCAATATTAGTCGAGTTGGAAATGAGGAGACTTTTGTCGACCGGCGGCGTAAAGGCCATTTTCAGAGGATTACCATGGAATCGGATGAACGTCTGCATAGCTGTTTCGGCGAAATCCCGCGTACAGAAGGTTATCTCGATAACCGGTTCTAAGGACCCACTTATGACGTGGTGTGTCACACGTTCAGCGTGCAAGTAGACTAACTAAAGTAAATAAGAAAATTTTGACAAAATTGAGGTATATCATTACTTATCCATTAGTTAGGGCCAAAATAGAAGTGGCTGAGAAGCCAGTATAACACAAAATAGATGCAACGTAAGGTTATCCCAATCGAACAAACATCTAGATGGGACTTTCATCTTTCCAAGCCCCATCAGGCGTTCTATCATCGAGGCTTAATACCATTTGTGTCAGGCCCATATAACTAGCATATACTAGTTGGCGTACAAGTAGCATGTATGCTCAACACAGTCATCATATTAATAATGCTACCACACGCGATAGCATCCACCAGAACTGGTGTCCAACGACAATTCACTATTTCGGTGCCACTCTTATATGGTAATCAGGCCTTACAATGTAGCAGGGAGCACGGAAAAGTTATTTTCATCCTGATCTCTATAATCTACCCATTTGCGCCTATCTCTTGACCACATTTTGAGGAACATCTCTGAGATGCCAGACCAGAAATCTAGACTGCATTTGTCTTTAGATCCCAACTAAAGCTTATAGCCCCCCTATTCTCGTATAAACTAGGTGACAACGCGCAAGGAAATTCGTGTTTTTGTGGACGAGGCTGGCAAACAAATCATGAATTGGTATCGATACCATTGAAGCACTTCCATTATTAGCTCGCGTAGTCAGCCAACCGAGATTGTTCCTCAGTTTTGTTCTATCCTCAAACTGGGCTGAGTTAAAGGGAACCTAGATCGAGATGGCCAGACCTTAGAGACTTAAGTCACTTAAGACATCTACTATTTGCTGGATAAAACTAGTTTGAACTTAGCGTCAACGAGCGAGCCCATTTTCATTTTACTTCTGCCTTTTATTTTTTCTAGCAATACATTTTGATATTCGCCAAGAAATATGTCTGATGGATAAGCCATATTTTGGCCGTTCACAGTAGTCCTAGACTTCCCAAGTCTTACTAAGCAGTATAAAAGGATCTCACCTTTTTTCTTATCTTATTCTGTCATTTCTCAACCTAGTCTTTGATACCAATTATTCTGTTAGTTCATGATAGCCTTTTAGCTGACCTTATATGCTAAATTAAATAATTAGTCTTTAAAGTGATTCAGCCAGCAGCTTAAATAGTTAGAGGTGTCAGCTAAATTAACAAGTAAAAATAGTTGTCACAAAAAAAGCTGAACTCTAGATGACAGATATATTTTGACAAACTAGGGGAATATGAAGAGAAGTTGGATTTCGAAGTAGGACAATCATAAGGAAAAAATA